TCAACACAATAATATCCATCATAAATCCTACCTAGTTATCATGCCCCGCTAGCAAGCTAACAATTATGGAACAGATTACAGGGCAATAGGCAAATTATAGTATGCCAAGGTTCGACTTATCCTTGGTGACTCTAGTTATAATTTTTCCAACAACATTTTTTCACACTTTGTCATTCAACTGACTCAACCATTGCAAGTATTAGTCAAAAATGATGTATCCTTACTCTATCAATAAAAATGTGTGGATACAACCCTTCAAATGCTACATCATAACATGGTTCTTGAACTTTATGTCCTCCCAAATCCAGGTGTTACAAGTTGTATTGAGTGTTCAACTTCTAAACCCTCTAGGGAATCTAACCACGAACTAAAATACTTTATCTATTAATTCATTTGGTTGGAAAATAATGTTAATCTTTGAGGTATGATCACTTCCCCTTCAAGATCTAGCTCACGGCATCATTAGCTGAACCCAAGAATTTAGCAAGCAGACATTTCCAACCAAAACCTCGATAAAACTTCTTCCTTAATTTCCTAATCACCCACTCAACTCTCCCATTCTCATCCAAACAATTCATTAGATTTTCTTACAGTTAGGACCACTCCAATCAACATAAAACCTTATTGCTACCAACATTTCTTAAAAGCTTCCCTTGAAACTATGCTTAGCGATCTGCTCAATTTAGGCTTAATCCGACCCAACACAAACCCATTCTCCTCTCACATTCTATTGGTCAAAAGAAAGAGGGCACTTCGCACTTTTGTGCCGACTAGTGAAAATTGAACTAACATAACTCAAAATCAATTCCCATTCCCCATAGTAGATGAATTACTTAATGAATTACATTGCATAACAGCAAAACAAACTTAGAAACCAACTATCATCAAATCCAATGGCTTAATAAAAAAAGTACAAAAATCGACTTTAAACATACAAAGACCATCACTAATTCATAGTCATGTTCATTGGCCTTACAAATGCACGACCACCTTCCAAAATGTTATGAATTAAACAATAAAACTGGATCTCCACAAATTTATATTTTTTAATTAATAATTATGTATAACAATTCTGTAGTTGACCATCTATGCATTCTACTTAACATCACCTTTGAAACACTATCTATCTCAAACACTCAAATGCCTATTCAAGAATCATCAATTGAATATTTGAGCCACATGGTTGATGACATGAGCATTAGTCTGCACGAAAAAAAAAAAATTGCAATCAAGAATTGGCCACAAACACAGATAAAAACAGCTGCAGGGATTCCTTGGCCTTGCCAACTAATTATTGTAGGTCCGTTAAACAATTTGCTCAAATGCATATCACCTAGCAAATTTTCTTCAAACTATTACTTTTCAGTGGAGCACACAAGTAGAGAGAGCATTCATCTGATTAAATATGGCACTAGCAATGCCACCACTTTTGCTCTTCCCAATTTAACCAAACCATTCACAGTCGATACAAATGCCTCCAATTAGGGCATTGGTGCAGTATTATCCCAATACACTGCATAAAAAAAATACAATAGGCATCAACTTACATTTGCAAGATGTTCGCCATCATAGAATTCACTCGCCAGCATCCCATGCCTACATGGCACTAAATTCACCATTGGAAGTAACCATCAAAGAATTCAAGAGCTCATAAGAAACAAATGCATCCCATGCCTACGTGGCACTAAATTCACCATTGGAAGTAACCATCAAAGAATTCAAGAGCTCATAAGAAACAAATGCATATCACCTAGCACTGACCTTGAATTCAAAGTTTATCTTCAACGAGGGGAAATTGTTAAAATAGCAACTAACAAAACTAAAGCAACAAGAATCTAATAAGAAACAAAGAAAATGAGGTAATGAGGTAGCATCGGTGACAGGGCTGTGAAGACAGCCCAGCTAACCTCCACATGAAATAAGGATCTAGGGGTTTCCATTTTGCTAACGGCAGAAGCCTTCATCGTTAATTTTTCAAGCAAAAATGTTAATAAAAGAGATGTTAAGGCGCAATCGCCTAGAATATGGGAATATAGAAAATTATTCTACAATTCCCTGATTTCCTTCTTCTTCCTAAGCTTCTTTAATCTCTCTTATATCTCTTCTTGGGACCCTCAAACAAGGCTTAAAGTTGTCATTTATCCAACGTCTATCCACCACTCATCGTGACTCATCAATAACTCCCTTCAATTGTCTTCTTTTACCCGTTACTAGCTAAGCTATTTCTAGTATATAAAATTGTAGTTAGTTTCGTTAGATAAACATTTTTCAGTTACTGAGGGAAGAAATATCACCTCAATTATTTCCACCAATATTTTTTAAAATGTTTGACATAATGAGACTAATTTGATAATAATCCATGATGAAAATGTGCCAAACAGTGAAGGCTTGATGAAGAAGTGAATTCAAAGAATACGGCTATGGCCAAATGCAAATCTAGAATAATTCTTCTCATATATTACTATTATTTAATTAAAATGACTGGTGGCCCAAGAAGAAAAGATTCAGCTTGGAACGATGGGACTTAAGTTCATGTGCCAAGAGAAAGTGCAAAGAAAATATATGTTTATTTGAAACGTGAATTTTTTGACAAGCAAATTATTGTTGGTGTTAAGAGACTAGATCAATTAGCTTGCACACATGTAAATATTAGAGCATGGGAGAGTGCTATATGAAGTCAAGAAGAAATGTGTTGAATATTTCAAAAAGTATGCCACCTCAAAATGAGCAGCGCAAAGAAATATATAAGAGATGATAGAGAATAGTTTACATTTTGGTTCTCAATATGATGGTTCTAGTAGTCGAATTCATTTATTTTCTTCTAATAGAGGAACTCGATTACTAATGAATAGATTTATTGTGAATCTGGATAAAAATAAGAATATCAACTCTCAAATGATTCCTCCAACTTAAACGAAAGAACACGGAAATAGAGTGCGTTAAAATATTGCAAGATTTTTTATGAGAATGGAGTTTCATTATGTGATGAGTTATTCATGGATCAATTTACATCATGAAAGGAGAGATGGGGGAAAAGAGAAGCAAGTGAATATTCTAGAGTTGAGATGTCAAACTAAAAAAATTATGATTAAATATAAAAATTTTAACTCAAATATCCAAATTCACAATAAAACTACCACACATTTTTATTTTTTATGAAATTTCAACGATTTGATCGTGACACGCATAAATAAATCGGTTCAGTAGTTCAAAAAAATCACATAAATGCTAGTTTTGTAAATAACAATAATTCATGTGTAATTGCCCTAATTAAATAATAATAATAATGATAATAATAATAATAATAATAATAATAATAAACAGCTCATAAGGCCGAATCTATCTCACCTGGGCTCTAAAATTGGCTTAAAATTTTGATCGTTTGAGTTGATTTTAAGTGAGCTTGATTCAAAATTAATGAGCGGATTTATGAGTTAATTCTGATTTTTTTAAAAAAAATATTAAGTGGAATTTTGTTCAAAATGAGCTGGCTAAGGGATATGTTCTGATTGTTTATTTATTACGATGCAATAGTTGCCATGTATTTATTAATATAAGGATAAATTAGTATGAATATTGTCATTATCCTTCAAATTAGAGATTATATATGGGTGTTCAAAATTTATTTGAAAGTTTCTTATATATGCAATAAACCTAAAAAAATGGCACTCCAAAATAAGTAAGGCCATCTGAGCATAAAAAATTTCATGATTTCCATTGGGGAACTCGATATAACTTTCATATACACATGCTAAGAGACCAATTTTGAAAACATAAAGTTCAAAGAGAATCATTTACAAAGAAGGTACACATGAATATATATATGCATACCACACTAAACAGGTATTTTAATGTAGAAATCAAAAGATATTACTTACATCATCTAGGTCTTTTGCCATTCAAGTAAAGTCAAGGAACATCTCGTCATATCATCTTGTATCTAAGAAAGGTTCAACCATTTACATTGTCAATGAGGCCTCCAAGTCGGTGTTTCGCTCACAAAAAGAGAAGCAATTCAGAAAATTCTTTTTCAGAGTCCCTCTGACTCAACAAGTGAACTCTCCAAGAATTTCATTTTAAATAACTAAAAAATACACATATCAAACAATGTCCTTAGCGTTATTGTGTCTTCCTCAATCCTTGCATGTAAAATACTGTCAGCTTTTTTGGCATATTCAGCAAAGGCCAGCTCAATCAACTTAAATTTATAAAAAGAATAAGTTTATATTGAGCAACTAGTCCAACTCGCTCTCTAGCTGGTTAATTTTCATACAACCTCAAATAAGGCCCGACATAATTTTCGACTTTCCGAAATCCTCTTCCCTTCTAACTAGTCGTTTTGTCTTCAATATAGAACTCATGGTAGGGATAGTGTCGTCCATTCCAAATCCCCGAAACTCTCAACGGTTAACGATTCGCCAAGGCTAAGTAACGAAGAAATCTCACCAGAAATCGCAATAGTTGAAAAGCAAATAATAAATTAAGTTGTAAACCAGAAGCAAATAGGTGACTTACAAGGATAGAGGTTCAGTTCTTAATAAAAAGAAAATAGCCTCTTTGACTAGCGACTCCAAAAGTTATTTTGTGCAATCTTAACCGCCTTGGCAAAGAAGGAAATCGAGTTCTTCAGGCATCGCAGTGAATGGAACTTGGCATGAGGTCAAATTAATGGGCTATGAACTAAAAAAAATAAGCTCCATCCTTTTTTTAAAAAAAGCCAATCTGTTCAGCCAAATATGTTCTTTCTCGTGTTCTATTTTCACCAAACATGAATAAAGTTAAAGCAAAGACAACATGACCTAAAAGATCAGGGCAGTTAATATAACTGAAATAACATTAATGTCAACAGGAGGTAAACAACTTTAAATTTCATTTATTTGGATTGATTATTTGATAATGAAGCAAGAAATATTGTTTATGCCAAGCTCTTTCATGCAATTTTACATTTTTTCAGTTGCTTATCAAAATTCGTCAACAAGTTTAATAAGGCTGCCATTTACCAATAATTTATCAATCAGATCAATGGCTTCATCTGAAAAGTAAGCAGGGAACGTGATATCTCTTGCTTTGATTTTCTTAAACATAAGCCATTCACAAGAATCATGGAAGGGAGAAGTTCCAGAAAGCATCTGATACATGGTGCACCCAAGAGCCCAGTGATCATTTCTGAAATTGAAATGTCAGCAATAATTTAATACAAGAAGGATATGATTCTTTACAATTGGAAAAGTGGGGTAGATTTACTTACGCTATACTAGTTGTACATCTGTTAAGTACTTCTGGAGGAACATATGCAGCAGTTCCCTCAAAAGAACCAGTTTCTTCATCTGAATCACCCATATTACAAAAGAGGATAAATTAAAGCAGTTAGTTATCTCGGGACAGGAGTTCTGAGGAAAATCCAGATCACAATATGAACTTACTTGCCGCAAGTGGAGGAAGTAAGATTTGGGCATCTTCAGTTACTTTTACACTGCCAAAATCAGCAACCTTGACATGCCCATCAGCAGTAAGAAGTAAATTCTCTGGCTAACATTTGCAAGAGGATTAGGATAAACAGTGGTGGTACATAATAACAGGTCCATAAGAGTTCAGTCTCATACCTTAATATCACGATGAATTAATCCAACGCCATGCAGATATTCCAAGGCATCAATAATTTCTGCCATATAAAAGCGAGCCTCACCCTCAAAGATACGGCCTTTCTACAAAAGTTGAAATTTAAAATAACATTTTTTTTTTCAAATAGCAAATTCTGAACTTCACAAAAAAAATAATAATAAATATAACTAAAGAAAATTACTAATCATTTAAAAGTCTAGCGATTAGTTATTCAAATATTACCCTGGTTATTTGATCAAATAGCTCTCCTCCTTCACAAGCCTCGAATGCCATGTCTTCATAGTTTATGTTAAGCATAGAAACAAAATCCATCACTCAACGGTGAAACTACTCAAATATTCAAGATGAAACTTGACTTCGGTATTGTTTTAAAAGCATCAATTGTGGTCTCACAACAACGAGTGCATAACACTGACTTAAAGTAATGATTGCTCAGAACACCAGACTTACAAAGGGAATAAGAATCTTGGAATGTGAACAAAAGCTGAACAATCCCAGGATGATTTAGTTGGTCGAGTACAATGCGCTCCCGTTTTACATGGGATACTTTCTGTTGTTTGGTAATAAAAGCCTTGTCCATGATCTTCATAGCATACACTTGTCCCGTATCTTTCTTCTTTACCCTAACTACCTGATGACACAAGAATTGGAGAATAAAGTTGGCTGCTGAATATAGGAGTTGGAGATAAAAACATAATATTAATTTGCATTCATTAGATAGATTTAATAACCAAGAACAAATAGTTAAAGATTACGAAAAAAACCACGTGGAATCTGTTAAATTTTATTTGTGGCTCACATTTATTTTAATAACTTATGAGATTTATTTTCTTAACTCATAACTTATGTCATAATAAATAATAACTTAAGCTATTTATTTTTATAACTCATGATAACTTAAGTTATTTATTTTCTTAATTCATAACTTATGTCATAATAAATGACAACTTAAGTTATTCATTTTATAAGTCATGAAAAATTATGTTATTTATTTAATAACTTATGTCATAACTTATGATAACTTATGATATTTATTTTTGTAACTCATGTAACGCCTAAAATAAATAAAAGTTACTAACTTATGTTATAAAATCAATTAATTTATTAAATTATCATAAATCATATTGATTAGTAATCTCCTTGATGGATGATGATTAAATAGAGCATAATTTAGAGAATGGGTCATCTCTCTTCCTTACACGCCTTGTACATTTTTCTCCATCAGAAAGTACAGAAAGTTCAAGGGATTAGAGAGAGAAACTTCATCTCCTCAAGATCAAAATTTCTTCAAGATCAAATCTTATCATCATGAATACATGTGTGTGTTAATTTATTATAGATATGTAAAAATCATGAATTTAAGAAATCTTGATTATTATGTATTTTTAGAATTTGTGTTATAAATGTCAAACATGAATTTCCAACATGTGGTATCAGAGCCTTGACTGATATAATTTATGATTTTTCATATAATTTTATTTATGTTAATTGTATTAAATTTCCGCTGTGAATTAGATCTTGAATTAGATCACTAAGAATTAGATACTAATACTAAAGTAAATTAATGTGATTGAAATTATTATTTATTTGATGTCCATGTTATGTTTAATTTGTTAGTCACCAATGTGACCAAATTAATAAGTTTAATAGACGTCAAATTAAATAAATTTAATTACTCACGAGTATGTGATATTTGTTATGAAATAATTTAACATTTCATTACGAAAATATTAAAATTCATTGATTATAAAATATTTCTAGATTGCCCAAAGGTTGATCATTTCTTTTATAATCTTTGAATATAATTATAGTTTATTTATATACTTAGTTAAGATATGTTTATACATACCAAAGATAATAGACATGTCTAATTTGAGTATAAACAATTATCAATTATATTAAAATTAAATCAAGTATCAATTATATTTATTATCGTGTATTGTTATATCACCCAAAGGAGATTTCAATATACTATTATTATTATTATTATTATTATTATTATTATTATTATTATTATTATTATTTTAATATGATTTTATATGAATATCTATGTAAGTTTAATGCTCGAAGCATTAATGTACGAGCATGCTTTATTTATTTGCAGTAACTACTCCTGTTTCTCTTCATTTGCAAGCTGCATCTATTCAAACTTTCAATGAGCTTCATTTGTCTGAATGGCGTGAGCAAGTCCGGTTTTACCTTGGTGTTCTGGATCTTGATTTGGCACTCGCGACTAAAAAACTTCCTGCTCTTACTGATTTTAGCAATGCTGAGCAAATATTTTTCTATAAAGTTTGGCAAAAATCGAACAGATTAAGCTTAATGTTTATACGAATGACTGTAGCAAACCACATAAAGTGTACATTGTCTAATACTGAAAGTGTTAAGGAATTTATGAAATTTACTTAGAATTGTTTTCAGTCTGACTCTGCTGATAAGTCTCTTGCTGTGATGCTATTGAGTACGTTAACTAACATGAACTTTGATGGTTATCATACTATGTATGAACTTGTCGTTCGTTCTCGTACTATGCATGAGCTTGTCGTTGAAATGACGAACATTGCAGCAAAACTTAAGACCTTGGAAATGGAAGTGAATGAAAATTTCTTTGTGCAATTTATCATTAACTCCTTGTAACTCCTTGCCTCCTAAGCCTAAGTATGGTCTATTTCACATGAATTACAACACTATGAAAGATAAGAGGAATGTGAATGAACTATAATGTATGCTCATTCAAGAGCATGCAAGGCTTAAAAAAGAAATAAATCACTTCATTAATCTCATGGTTTATCAAAGAAAAGCTGTAAAAAACCTGGAAAGAAGAATGGAAAGGACAAACAATGACCACTAAAGATTAATGTATCATCTGCCCTAATTCACAAAGAACAACATAAAGGAATTAAGTGTCGCTTTTGCAGAAAGTTTGGACACCATCAAAATGAGTGTCAAAAATGCAAAGACTGTTTTGAAAAGAAAGGTAAACCTTGTGTTTCTATATATTTCAAATCAAATTTGGCAGAAGTTTCTTATAATATCTGGTGGATTGATTCTAGTTATACCACTCATGTTTCTAATATGATGCATGGATTCCTTACAACCCAAATGAAAAGTTTGTCTTCATGAGAAACCGAGTCAAAGCACCAGTTGAAGCTATTGAAACATATCGATTGATTTTACGATTGATTTTAGATACATTGATTTTAGATACTGGACATCATTTAGATCTTTTTCAAACACTTTATGTCCCTTATGTTTCTCGTAATTTAATTTCATTGTCCAAACTTGATTCTATTGGATATTTCTTTGAATTTGGAAATGGTTGTTTCAGTTTGTTTAAACACAATTATCTCATAGGTTCTGGTATTCTTTATAATGGCCTATATAAGCTTAAACTTGAAAACATTTTCGCTGAGACTCTAATGACTTTGCATCATAATATTGGTATTAAACGTGGTTTTATGAAAAAAAGTTCAGCTTAATTGTGACATAAACGTTTCGTTCATATATCCAAAGAAAGAATTGAAGGATTAATAAAGAATGAAGTCCTTAATGAATTAAATTTTACTGATCTTGACACCTGTGTGAATCGTATTAAAAGAAAGCACAGAAATCACACACTTAAGAAAACCGCCACAAGAAGCACACAAATCCTTGAAATATTCCTTGAAATTATACACACTGATATTTGTGGATCTTTTGATGTTTCATCTTTTGGTGGAGAGAAGTATTTTATCACCTTTATTGATGATTTTTCACGTTATAGGCATGTCTACTTATTGCATCAAAAATCTCAAGCTATAGATGTCTTAAAAGTGTATATAACTGAGATTGAGAGACAATTAGACAGAAAAGTGAAAATTATCAGGTCTGATAGAGGCGGTGAATATTATATAACTTACAATGAATTTGGATAATGTCCAGGCCTATTTGCTAAATTCCTTCAAAGTAATGGCATATGTGCTCTATACACTATGCCAAAAACACCACAATAAAATAGTGTTGCAGAAAGGCGAAACCATACTTTAATGGAAATGGATAGGAGTATGATAAGTAATTCTTCTTTACCCTCATCATTGTGGATGCATGCTTTAAAGACCGCTGCATATTTGTTAAACAGGGTTCCTAATAAGCAGTTCCAAAGACTTCTTTTGAAATGTGGATAGGAAGGAAACCTAGTTTAAGGCACCTGCGTGTTTGGGGTTGCCCAGCAGAAATAAGGTTATATAATCTACATGAAAAGAAACTAGACTCAAGAACAATCAGTGGTTTCTTCATTGGTTATCCAGAATCTAAAAGGTATATATTTTATTGTCTTAACCACAGTATAAGAATTATTGAAGCTAGAAATGCAAAGTTTATTGAAAATAGTTAAGTTAGTGGGAGTTTGGAGCCACGTAAAGTGAAGATCCAAGAAATTAAGGTTCAAATTCCTTTACCTACCTAAAATTCCTTCTCAACTTGTTATTCCTACAATTGTTGAACAGTTTGATAACTTAAAAGAACAACAGATATATGATCAAATACCCCACAATGAAACTGTCACTAATGAACCTGCATTAGATGAACCAAATGAAGTAGCAACTAGAAAGTCTCAAAGACAAAAACGATCTGCTATTTCTGATGATTATGTAGTTTATCTACATGAGTCTGAATTTGACTTGGGATTCAATAAAGATCCAGTTTCATTTTCATAAGCTATAGAAAGTGTAAATTCTTCTAAATGGTTAGATGCAATGAAAGATAAGTTGAAATCGATGAATCACAACAAAGTTTGGGATGTCGTTGAATTGTCTGAAGGTTGTAAAAAAGTCGAGTATAAATGAGTTTTTAAGACTAAGCGCAACTCAAATGAAAATATTGAACGGTATAAAGTCATACTTGTTGTCAAAGATTTCACTCAGAAAGATGACATCGTTTGTAAAAAAACATTTTCTCCAGTTTTTAAGAAAGATTCATTTAGAATTATCATGACACTAGTAGCTCATTTTGATTTGGAGTTACACCAAATAGATGTGAAAAGTGTCTTTTCTGATTGGGAATTTAGATGAAAAGGTCTACATAAGTCAACTTGATGAATTTTCGATTGAAGGAAAGGAACACTTCATGTGTAAACTTAAAAAATTAATATGCGTGCTTAACAAAGCTTCCCTACAATGGTATTTTAAGTTCAATGATATCATCATGTCCTTTAGATTTAAAGAAAGCACTGTTGATCGGTGTATATATGTAAAGATCAGTGAGAGCAAGATCATATTTCTCATTCTGTATGTTGATGACATTTTGCTGGCTACTAATGATCTTAGTTTATTATATAAAACCAAAAATTTTCTCCCTAAGAACTTTGAAATGAAAGATATGAGTAAGACATCCTATGTGATTGGAATTGAAATATTTCATGATAGATCACAAGGATTGTTAGGGTTGTCTCAGAAAACTTGTCTCAGGATTGTTAGGGTTGTCTCAGAAAACATATATCGAAAGAGTTCTTAAGAGATACAATATCGAAGGGTGCTCAACAAGTGTTTCTTCAATTGAAAAAAGGAGATAAATTCAGCCTTATGCAGTGTCCAAAGAATGATTTGGAACGTAAACAAATGCAAGAAATTCCTTATGCATTTATTGTTGAAAGCTTAATATATGCTCAAACTTGTACCAGACCAGACATTAACTTTATTGTCGGGATGTTGGGCAGGTTTCAAAGTAATCCATGAATAGATCATTAGAAAGCTGCAAAAAAAGTTTTGAAGTATCTACAAGGAACAAAAAATCACATGCTCACTTATAGAAAATCTAAAGTTCTAGAAGTGATAGGGTATTTAGATTCAGATTTTGCTAGATGTGTTGATACTAGAAAATCAACATTTGATTATCTCTTCCTTTTGGCTGAAGGAGCAATCTCATAGAAAAATATGAAGCAGACTATCACAGTTGCTTTCACTATAGAAGCTGAATTTGTGACTTGCTTCGAATCTACAATTCAGGGTTTATGACTGCGAGATTTTATTTCAGGATTTAGAATTGTCGACAGTATTGTCAAGTCGTTGAAATTTTATTGTGATAACTCCGCAGCAGTCTTTTTTTCCAAAAACGACAAGTATTTCAAAGATGCTAAACACATGGAATTAAAATACATTGTCTTTAAGAAGAAATTCAGAAACATAGGGTGTCAATTGAGCATATTAGCACCAATCTCATGATTGCAGATTCTTTAACGAAAGAGTTGTCACTGAAGACATTTAACGAACATGTTGCGACAATAGACATTACCAAAACTCTTTATTAGTTTTATGTTTTTTGTATTTTGACACTTTGGGCTCAATTTTCTTGTTTCTTACATTTATAAATCTAATTTTTATCGTTAGTGTAAATTTTATGTTGCATGATGTTCAACAAGATTTGTCTTTTAATAGACATTATGGGATCATGATGTTAATTCTCATTATGCTAAGCATGTAATTGATATTGTGATACATGAAAGTGAGTGCGTCGTAAATTGATGCATAACCGTCATGATTCATATTAATTTCATACTTATTAAATAATTTATGATGTAACCAATATAAAGAAGAATTTATCTTATATTTTGTGCAATATGTTATGCACTATAAAAATTAAGTGAGTCAAGTGAGAGAATATAATTTTTTTATTTGTGGCTCACATTTATTTTAATAATTTATAAGATTTCTTTTCTTAACTCATAACTTATGTCATAATAAATGATAATTTAAACTATTTATTTTGTATAACTCATGATAACTTAAGTTATTTAGTTTCTTAACTCATAACTTATGTCATAATAAATAATAACTTAAGCTGTTTATTTTTAGTTTATTTTTATAACTCATGATAACTTAAATTATTTATTTTCTTAACTCATAACTTATGTCATAACATATAATAACTTATCCTTAAGTTATTCATTTTATAAGTCTTGAAAATTTATGTTATTTATTTAATAACTTATATCATAACTTATGATATTTATTTTTGTAACTCGTGTAATGCCTAAAATAAATAAAAATTACTAACTTATGTCATTGATTTTAATAATAAAATCAATTAATTTATTAAACTATCATAAATCTTATTGGTTAGTAACCCTCTTGATAGATGATGGTTAAATAGAGCATAATTCAGAGAATGTATCATTTCTCTTCCTAACACATCTCTTACAGTTCTCTCCATCATAAAGTACAAAAAGTTCAAGGGATTAGAGAGAGAAACTCTCTCTCTTCAAGATCAAAATTTTTTAAAGATCAAATTTTTTCATCATGAATACAAGTATGTATTACTTTATTATAGATATGTAAAAATCATGAATTTAAAAGTTATTAGCTATTATGCATTTTTAGAATTTGTGTTATAAATGTCAAACATGAATTTAAAATCCTAAAGATCCGCTCTGTCCACACGGGATCTAACTACTTCAAATACGTGAAATTGACATCTGAAGGAAGCTAATCACGAAGGGGAAGGGACTTGGAAAATCATAAACGATTTAATCCAAACCTTGGAAAAGGAACCAACGCCGAGGACCGGCCCGAGCACAAAATCATCGATGGTGAAGTTTTCCTGCGGTGCCCTAAACGTAAAGTTGCTACTCCTCGGCGGACCGCTGCAGCTGACGACGCTCCGTAGCGACGGGGCCCGCACCTCCACTTCGAACTCGTTCGTCGATTCTTCCCGCCAACCCCGCACCACCGTCATCTCAACCAGTAGATTCTCCTGCGAAAGCGAAAGCGGAGGAAGGAGAGGACGGGGAGGAATGGCAAATACAAAGAGCGCAGCGACTCCAATGAGAGAGAAGGGAGCACGGGGCAAGCTGCATTTTTGGAGGAGGGAAAAAACTGATGCTGTTTTGATTGCGGGGTCTCCCGGTCCGTTCGAAAACGAAAATTTCCCCGACGAAAACGAAAATTTCCCAATTATAGATAATTATTTCTATTTTATTCTTAATTTAAACTTCGAAAACGAAAATTTCCCAATTTTAGATAATTATTTCTATTTTATTCTTAATTTAAACTTTTTTTTTAATTAATAAATATAAAAAACGATCAACACTCCATACTTTATTTTAATAATTAATATTTTTATTTAATTTTTTTTTTTGTAAATTATTATTTCAAAGAAGTATCATAATTATATCTAAAAAAGTATATTTTAAAATGCTAATTTTCCGTGAGGATAAATTCCTAATTAAACACTCACATGCTTTAGTTTAAATAATTTGATCTGTCAAAATTGATTTTAGTATTTTAATTAAAAATATTAGAAGAAATTTCATGCTGAAGTGGAGCGTTACATAAGGAATTAGTTTTTTTAAAGGTTAAAGAGATGCTAGGTAATAGGATTAGAGACGAAATAAATGGGAATAAGAAACAATAGTAAATATCTTCCAGCTTAAAATTTATAATTTTAAATAATGGTATAATGATTGTTAATAAAATTACTCATGAATGTTGATACGCCATCAAAAAATTTCCATTATCCGACATGATTCTCAAACGTGGCATGAATTTCGAGATAATATTTTTAGCATGGAACATTCAAACTTCAATTGAAAATCATTCGAAACTCCGACTTCAGAAAACTTACATTCAATTGACTGGCTTGGCAAGACGAATGCAACGACACCGAAATTATTTCAATCTGAGTTCAATCAAGGCTATTAAAGTGTTTTTAGAAGCTTCTAGTGCTCAATTGGAATGTTCAACAGATTCCAAAGCTAACAAGATTATAGTTAAATTGAGCATCTAGACAAGATGAATCTAAGGAGTCCAATATCACTCAATTCTGATATCACTAAGTCACCCAACAGTTCACAAAATATCATCTGATTCATGGAACCTCTTTAAGGCACTAATGAAATGGTTTGGATTACGTACTTATTTGTAGGGAGGCCTCTCATAGGATATAGATAGAGCTCGACCCCCCTTTTGATATTAAAGCTTGACTCTGAACGAGAGAGACCGGAACTTGGAGGAGAAGGTGTTGAACCCTCGTGTTCTACACCGAGTTTTTAGTGAACGTCACCTGTTTCCACAGTCGTCAACCACTGTTCACCGACCGTCGTCAATCACCATCGATCGTCACCTGCTCCTTGTGGTGAAACCTTATGCAGAGTAGCAATATGTGTTGTAGAATCTTAGCATACATTGTTGAACAGTGATGCACCAGATAGAGGAACATCATGTAATGATGGGCCCTACATACTATGTAGTGACATATTTGGAAGATGATGTAACAACGCAGCCCAAATACACTATAACAATATACATCGAATATGGTGCAATGACGCATCCTAAAGACGATATAATAACACTCTTTGAATTCAAAGTAATGACACACCCCACAACAACTACTTACAACATGTACTCAAAATGTGGTGACTTTCTCCAAACTCTTAAGTCTCTTTCCTTGTTGCTCACCAACATGACTAACTATAGCCCACATGGTCCTCGTGCTTCTCCCAACTCTGATCTTTGCAGTCTATAAATGTTATTACAGCTTGTGCAGATTTCAACTACAACCTCTAGGCCTACAATCATTATCACATCTCTTACAGCTCCCAACGCTGACCTTTATGGGCTACATATATTATCGCAACTCACCACTATAAACTACATGACTAACTACGACCTGCGTGATCCATCGATCATGCATCTCCTAACTCCTACCTTTGTATCCTACAGACATCATTACTGCTCCCTGCTACGGCCTATGTATAGCCTATCTGGTCCACATGTCATACAACTCCCAACTCCAGCCTATGTGGTCTTTGGACATCATAACAACTCCCCACTATGACCTATGTGACCAACTATAGCCGACATGATGTTATCTCACCTCATGTAGCTCGTAACTCTAACCTCTATGCCCTTACGGATGTTATCTCAGCTCATGCAGTTCTCAACTCAAGCCTATGTGGCCTACAATTGTTATTACAACTCCCTATTGTGGCCTATGTGACCAACTACAGCCTACACGATCCAAAGCCCATGTAACTCCCAACTCCGCCTTCTATGGTCTACGGACGTTATCACAATTCATGTAGCTCTCAACTTCAGACTCTAGGGGTCTAAAAATGTTCTCACAACTTCTGCAATTCCTTATTATGGCATCTGTGCCCAATTGATGCTTTTGAAGAACCATCTATGACCTACATGGACAATTATTACCATGGCTTCTAAACATGATCTTTATAATACGTTGGCGCTATAGTCATCACCAACAACATTCATGACGGACTACTGCCTCCATAACAATTGATTATGACCTTCATATCTTGTTATAGTTATTATTGTTGAAATACTATTATAAATAAACCATAAAATTCCACCTTCCCTATCTCAGGAGAGGGTTGGGTTGGTGTCCTCACCAATACATAGTGAATTATTTCAGTGTAACTGGACCCTGTTGTTTTTTCCCCTTTCCACGTTTTCCACAAAAAAATTGAGGTGTCTCATTTAGCTTACTTTTCTTTTACCTTTGTGTGTGCTATATTTTCATGCAATGATAAGATGCAAAATAATCACTTTACTACCATAAACCTTCCGACATGTATTAGTTTGGCATTGTTTATGGGAATCAAAGTCCCGTTCAACATAATGCTCAAGTCAAAGAAGCTCATACCCTACTTCTTTCCCAATGATGTACATCATACAGCTGACTAAGGAACTTCCATTGCACCTCTTGAAGATCACTTCTAAAGCATTCCTTGATTTGGAAGGAAACCTTCACTGCAATCTCAAAACGCCATACATGTAAACATCTGACATGATTGTAGTGAGGTAGTCTTTTCGCATCCCATTTAGACACCAAGTCTTTGAAAATTATATTTAGGTTAGGGGAAATCTTCATTAAAATATCATTTCCCTATGATAATTTAACTTTTAAAGAAAATTAAATTATAAATATTTTGAATTTAGGATCTAATTTGAATAAAACTTAATGAACCAAATCTCTTTAAATTCACACAAAACTCAATTAAACTCACTTAAATTTCATCAAACTTAATCAAATTTCATTGAACTCACTTAAATTCCAAATTTTGAAATTTAAAAACTCAATAATCTTTTGACCCAATTTGAAAATACTCAAACTCTGACTCATAAACTCTTTCAATTCACTGATGCTAAAGATTAATATTTTAATTGAGGATTAAAATATTAAAACTTAAAGTTGTGTTTGAGCTCTGGTTAACATTTAACTTTTTATTGTTGTTGCAAAAAATGTCCATCGAAAAGCTCATTTCCTTCTTTTAAAGACAATGTCGAGGTGGCAGTTGATCAAAGTCACCTAATGAACAACCCAATTATCTAGATTGACACCAGATTCAAAGATCAAGATATGTTTTACAATAATACAACTGTGATAGTACCTGAGCCAGAGGATTTACCTTAAGGAAAACCATTTATTGAGTTCTAAGTACGAGGAGCAGAAGTCCCCTCATCTTGTGCTAAGTGATACACAAAAAAAAGTGCAATTTTATATATACATTTTATGCTTAAATTTGGTGATATTGTACTTTAAAGAAGGGTATTTTCATGTTTTGTTGCAGGTATATTGATTTTAGGCATTTGGAGCAAAAAGGAGCAAAAAGAAGGAAATTTAGAGTCAAAATAAAGTTTTCAGTATTCTAGCGCCAGAGACGCCAGAATCCAGAGAACATCACGAAACTTCAGTACATTAGTGCCAAAGACACCAGAGACAAATTATGATGGAGTAAGACAGTTATTGACTATTTTCGAGCGGTTATAGAAGGCTTCAATCAATTTAAATGCCCCATGGAGTGGTTAAATGCAAACACATTGGAAAAGCTCTTAAATGAAGAGATATATCTTTTGGATGAAGGGACTCGTCTCTTGATGTGAAGAGGTGTGTCTTTTGGGAAAAGAGGGAATTTTGAATTCTTTTTGAAAGGAAGGTTGGCCCTAACTAAAAAGAGGAGTCTAGTGAGTCTTGCGAGAGGCTTTAGAGGAGGAGAAGTCTAAGGGTGGTGTGAGAAAGAATTATGGAGAAGAGTTTGTTTTTTCTTCTATAGTTGCAAGAGGAGAGGGAAGATGAGAAATTTCTTTTTCATTATATTTCTAAGAGAGAATTGAGTGTGACTATAAAGAAAGAAAGTGCTTAAAAGGAACTTCAAGAGATTTGCTTGAGAAGGAGTGTGAGATAAGTTGTGTTCTTTGCTTTATTTATTTTGTAAACTTGTTTTTGTATATAAAATCTATGTTTTGTTGTATCCTTCTCATGAATTCTGAGTAGTTTTCTTTATCCTTCTCCCTACAATTTGATATGGTTTTGTGAAGAATTAATTTTGTTATGAAAGGTTTTAAATGCAATAAATTTTGATGATTCGAACTCTGATCTTCATTTACTTTTCAATGGCTAATTGAAATGTTAAAATTTATTGAGAAACGCAAGGTCTTAAAGGGCTATGCTTTCTGCAACAAGGTGAGAGTCACATTCAATTTCATGGGTGAGAATGTAGCACATGGGGTTGAGTGCAAATAAATAGGGAAATATACTTTGATGGGCGCAGAATTGGAGATTCTAGGGTGACAGACTAAAGTCTCCAATTTGGTCCAATTGCTTGGAAACTAAAGCAAGATTGTTAGCCCTCAGGGAAGGGAGAAGTGAGAGATCTGAAGTGGAAGCCAGTATCCTCTTAACCTAAATTTGGATTAGTCAATGTTCTTTATGCACTATAAGAGGGTAAAGAATAGGATTGCTCATATCTGACATAATACAAATTTATATATAATTTAAATGATTTTAATTACTTCACAATCCAAAAACTCATTGTAAAAAGGAATGACGTTTTCTTAAATTTGAACTCTTCATTACAAAACTTTGTTTAGTCT